ACCAGCCCAGCTTCTGGTTGTGCATGGGTGCCTGCTCTGCCTGCGGTGCTGCCCTGCTTGCAGCCTCCTTCAGTCCCTGCAGGGCTGGGCCAAGTGCCCAGCTTGCAGCTTAGGGATAGCCTGGCATCTTCTCCATCTCACCTTCTCCCCTCTCCTTCCCCAGGTGCCTCACACCTTCCTGAACCTGAAGGAGCCATTTTATGTGGGGGGAGCCCCTGATTTCAGCAAGCTGGCTCGAGCAGCCGCCATCTCCACAAGCTTTGATGGAGCTTTGCAGAGGGTAAGGTGCTACCTGGGGCAGGTGTCCGGCTGGGAGACGTTGCTATCAGCACCAGCATCGCTGGAGGAGAGCGAGGATGAGCCTGGGAGCGGGCTGCCCCGGCACGTGGATCCATGTGCATGGGGGGGCATGCCCAATTGGAAAGTGGCAGCAGTGGGTTGCAGAAGAGAAGGTGGGGGTGCATTGCAGGAGAGCGTGGGGCTTGGGGCAGGTTCCCGTCTCCCCTTTCCCCCGAGGGTGCTGGCCTCTGTTCCCCTCCTGGCCCCGCAGAAAGGTGGGGTGGTGAAGGCTGACTCTTGTGCTTCCTCTTGTTTGCATCTGTCAGATCTCCATCAAGGGGGTGCCTGTGCTGAAGGAGCAGAACATCCGCAGCGCCATCGAGATCTCCCCTTTCCGAGGCCACCCCTGCACCCAGAAACCCAATCCCTGCCAGAACGGAGGCATTTGCAGCCCCCGGCTAGAGAGCTACGAGTGTGCCTGCCAGAGGGGCTTCTCCGGGGCTCACTGCGAGAAAGGTGAGATGGCCAGGGTAGGGCTGGACATGGACCCACTAGCCAGACGCGGCAATGAAACCGCTTCAGCGATTAGCTGGTGGCAGCAGGACCATGCACCGCTTCGGCCAGGCCTGAGGTCTTGCCCTTGTCGTGGCAGCCGGGAGGGATCCAGGGGAAACAAGCCATGGCATTTGCAGGCTGGCACCGTCGCGCAGCTGTGAAGTCGAGGCGGTGCCATTTCTCAGAGATGCAGGCGTTAACGCTGCATCAGGCAGGGCAAACGCTGCTGCCCACGGGTAGATCACCCAGCCCTGTCACCTCCTGTGAGTGCACGCTGACCCTATCTCGTGTTGCTGTGTTCGCTTGAAGCAGCCTGGGGCAGGGAAACGTGGTTTGGTGCCGTAGCAGATCAGGGTTTCTTTCCTGCTACCTCCCCGACGTTAGCACTTGGGCCATCGCCGAGTCCAGGTTCCTCCCCAGCTTCAGCCGGGAAACCAAGGCTGCAGATTTCATGACAGTTGGCTGCGAAACAGGGAGATGGTCCAAACTCACAGGCTTTAAAGCCACGGCACAACTTTTCCAGGGGCTTGCTTTTAGAATGCCACAGTGCTGGCGTGCCCTGAGGGACGGCAGGTTTGCACATGCCTTTGTCCTGTTAGGAATGCTCAGTGTAAAGGGGGATTTTCCTAGTCTCCAAGGACGGACAGGCCATGCTACATTGCCTGACAGCTCTTCTTTTTCCCACCTCCAGTGATCATTGAGAAGGCTGCTGGAGATGCAGAGGCCATTGCTTTTGATGGTAGGACATATATGGAGTACCACAATGCCGTGACAAAGAGGTAACTTGGCTGCTGAGCTGTACCGAGATCAAAACGAGGAGTTAGGGCTGTTAGCAGGAGGAAGAGCTAGGATCAAAGAAGTCCAAGTGCTGTGCTCGAAGAGGAGCAAGCCAAACTGGGGCCGCGAGCACTCGCTTCCAGCCCTTACCTCTTAACGCTGCCTTGTTGGCAGAGGGCTTTCCCCACAACGGCAGTGCCTGGCCAGCTGCAGGTGTGGATGTTCTCATTCTGTAGCGTGTGGGCCACCTTCTGGGTTAGCATAGTCTGGTTTGGGAGTGGGATGAAGCCTGGCTGAGTGCACCCCATGAAGATGGTTCACGTGCTCTGCTCCTGGTCGGTGCCTTTCTCTGCCCACATGCTTAGGAACGGGTCATGGGCTGGGTGAGCTGTGCTGAGGGGAGAGGTAGCTCTGCCTGTGGTTTAATTCACGCCTGTTTGCCAGCTCCTTTGTCTCCCTGGCTGTTTGTGCAGCGAGGGTCGGTTCTGCCAACAGGGACGGGCCGTCGCTGCTGCGGGACCTGGCTAGCCTTCTCCAGCAGCTGCTCAACCCTGACCCCATGGGCTAGGGGTACGTGTTCGGACCCTGCGGTCTCTGTGGCCGTACTGGTCCCTGGGGCTTCTCTCTCAAGATAAGCAGAGCCCAGTACGCAGCTGCTGACTGAGGTCCTCTTCAGCCTCCGGGCTGGATGTTTCTCCTGCAGGAGATTTTGGTCCGCTGCAGGCTGGCTCAGGACCCTTCCTCAGCACTGTGCTCCTGCAGCCCCTGTGGTTAATTCCCAGCTCCACAGCACTGGGACAGGGTGTTGGATAAGGCTCTGTCCATCTGCCTCTTACACCTTCAGATTCCCTGCGGCCCTAACACCCTGCCTGGGGAGGGCGTCTGTGTCGAGCTGTTGTTTGTCTGTCTGTCTGTCCGTCTGTCTCTTCTCAACGTCCTTGTTTCTTTGTTTTCAAGCCACCTGACCAATGAGATCCCCGCGTAAGTACAGCCCTCCCCGCTGCCCAGCTCCTCCCTGCAACCATCTGCCCTCCACCACATCTCCCATTGCCACCCTGACCGCAGCCCAGCCGCAGGGGAGCGCAGGGCAGGTGTGGGAGGAAGAATACGGGCACTCTCCCGGGGCTCTGTCATGGGCAGGCGTTCCCATTTCAGGGTGAGGAGGGCACAGGTACTGACCGCAGCTCTGGCAGCTGTACAGGTGCCCAAACACAGCCAAGGTGCAGCAGGAGCTACTCTGCCTGGCTCTGCTGCAGCCGGCGTCCCAGCAGCACGCTGCAACTTAGCCTTAGGTTAAGCGGGTGAGCATAGGGGAAGAAAGTTCTTGTGACTGACCTCTTCCATCAGTGGCGAAGGCACTGGCGACGGAAATAAGGGGTGCTAATCCTGCTGCGATTTTTTCCAGCACAAACGCGGCGTTGCCGCCGTAGCGAAGAGGCCAGACTGGGTGCTAGGAGAATGTTCCCCAGTCAGGGGTGCGTGCCTGGGCAACCCCTCACAACGTGCAGTGCAGCCGGGGGGGCAGAAGAAGGGCCTGGGCAGGCAGATGAGGAGAAGGGCTTCTTCCCTAGAGCGGGCTTGACAGCTCTGTTGATCTGCTGTCTGTCTGTCTTGCTGAGTGGCAGGAGTGGAAGAGAAGCACTGGTTCATGCAGCTGTATTCCCCACTGTGCGGGGGAGAGTTTGAGTGATACCTGCCTGTCACATCCCCATTTTATCTCATTTTCTACAAGCTGGGGTCAGACAGAAGCCTGGGAGGCTGTGGCATGCATGCATGTCAGCACCTGGGGAGCCACAGAGCCCATCAGCTGCACGTTCACAACATTTTGGGAGGTGCACTGGTGTTTTGGAAAGGGCTTTTTAGGAGCCAAGCATCCTCCTAAGCTAAGACAGTGCCCTGCAGCAGCGAGAGGCGTGTAGTGGGCTGCATGACAACTCTGCCACGTGGCAGTGCCCAGCTGTCCCTCTGCACAGACATGAGCCACATCCCTGCAGATGAGCAGAAAGCTGCTACCTTTATGTCCTGCCTCTCCCAGTGCTCTGCAAAGGGAAGGTCACCATTCCCAGCCTTCTTCCCGCCTGAGCCAGCCTATTTTGGTTGTGCATGCCCCATCTTGCAAGGGAGCTTAGCACTTCTCCCCAGATCCCTCGGCTGCGATTTGGCAGCAGCACTTGCCAGCCCAGCCAGGGCTGAAGGACCCATTGGGCTGCCCATAAAAAGTAGTTTCTTCTGTCTCCAGGCAGACACCGGGGTGTGCCTTGGGCAGGACTAACCCAGAGTCGCTTCTCTGGGCTCTGCTAGCCATGACATGCCTGTACTTTTTTTTTTTTTTTTTGAACATACATTTTTATATATACATCTAGTTAGAGCTGATTGTAATGCCGGGCCCGTAGCCCCCAACGCTTGCAGGCAGTGCCAGCAGGACAGCTGTATTCCTGGGTTTCCCCTTCTCCATGCACACCCTGCTGCCCAAGTGCCCCAAGGCTGACTCAGAGGCCTTATGTGACCATTCAGCGCTCTGGCTAAATGGGAGCCCCTTCTGCGGCATCCCGAAGAACCAGCCTGAGATCTTCTCCCTGCAGGTCTGCCCAGGAAAGGGTCCTTGCACATGGCCATGGACCAAAAGCTCCCTTCCCTCAGCAGTGCTGCTTCTGTCCTATCCTGGGATACGCATCCCAGCGGGGCAGCATGGGTGATTAGCAGGAACACTGATAGTCCTGACCCAGGAGAGCGTTGCAGAGTCCCTGCACCTCTGGGACAGGGCTGTATCCACTTGTTGGCATTATTATGCTCACCCTGGCTAAGCAACAACTTGCAAACTTGTCTCGCTGGCTTGAGGAAACAGCCCCAAGGACAGCGGCTGAGGCTTTCCGCTCACGCTGGGCGGTTTTCTCAGCTTGGGCACCGTGTAGGGGGGAGAGCCCTGCCTATGGAGCACCGCTGTTGAGCAGGGCTGTTCCCTATCCATGAGTGGGGTGGGAGGGAAGGGTCTCCTCCGCTGTCCTGCGCTTATCGCATGCTCCCCTTTCTTCCTGCATCTAAGTCCCGAAGCGCTGGACTATCCTGCGGAGCCCAGGTGAGTCTGTGCCAGGCTTTCAGCTCTTGTGTCTTGTGCTCTGCTCTTGCTGCCTCAGCATGTCTCTTGTCTCTGTGCGTGTTCTGTGTGTCCACAGCCTCGGCTTTTTATTTATAAGGGATACAGCTCTGGAGATGATTAGAGTAAACACGAAGGAAGTCCTGTCCTTCCAGCATAGGAATAGCAGCTTCTATGCAGCTCCAGCTCGGGCCCTCGCTCCTGGGGGACCTAGACAGCAAATAGCCACTGGTGAGGGGAGAGGCTGAATTACCTTGACGGTACAGCCCTCGTCCAGCCCTTTGGACACAGTGTCCCTTGGGAATAAAAAGCTGTCTGTGTTGCCCATGTTGTCTGGTCTGTGTGTGCACATGTGTCAGCAGTGTGTCTCGGAGCATCCCAGGGGAGCGGATGGTGACTCCATATGGGAATGTCACCGGTTGCCAAGAGCCTTTTGCCTGCTCCAAAAGGGACTGAGCAAAGGTGGGGATGCCAGTATGGTGGAAATCCTGTCCATCCTTCATTCCTCCCTTGGGAAAAGACACCGCGTCTGGGAGAAAGAAGGCTTTCTGCCTTTGCGGACGGTCTCCATCCCTTTCAAACTGCAGGGTGCTCATCGCCTCGCAGTCCCCAGCCTCAGGTTCCTGTTGGGCTTTGGTCAAGCAGAGGCAGCGGTGTAGAGCAAATGCCTCCAAGGCTGATGGCTCTGTGGTGATGGCATGGGGAGCGGTGGTCCCCAGGCACCCCAGCTCTGCTTGCACTTCAGACAGATGCCTGCCCAGCAGGATGGTGGAATGGTGTCGACCCCAGCTTAGCTGCTGCCCGCGGCCCTCCCAGTCTGGCCAACAGAGCCCTCTTTGTTCTGACCTCTCCCAAATCAAAGGCAGCTCTGTGGGGAAAGCCCTTCTGCTGGCCAGATCAGGACCAGCCCGGTGCTGTTCACCAGCCCACGTACCAGACCGCTTCCTTCAGCGCCTGCATATGAGGAGGCAAAACCAAGACTTGTCTGTCACAGCTTGCAGGGGTTGATGTGTCTGAACCTTGTGCTCCATGGAGGGCAAAAGCAAGGGGCGGTTGCCCCAGGCTGTGTCTTTGGAGGTTCCAAGCTGGATGTTGGGGAAAACACTTCGTCCCCAGGAGAACTGTGCCACTCCAGCTCAGGTCAGCAGGAAGATGGAGAAGCTCCATTCTTGGTGTTCCACAGCTCAGCTGGGCAGAGCCACAGCTGCCTTCACCTAGTGCTGGCACTGGCCCTGCTCTGAGCGGGAGCTGGGTTAGAGAACTCCAGAGGGCCATTTCTTTGATCCTGTGGCCGGGTTCAGAGCTTTCCATCTGCTCCCCCCTCCCCATGCACCAGGCCTTCTGAGCAAAGGCTGTGACCCCTCAAGTGCAGCAGGTAGGAATGGAGACCCCGTGCATAGCCTGATGCCAGGGGTCGGTTGAAGGTTGTCCTCAGCAGGTGAGCTAGTTGGCGGGGAACAGAGAAGGCTGCTCCAAGGGCCTGTTGCTTTTGTAGCCATGTTTTTAATGCTGCTCTGTCTTCTCCCCTGCTCCCGCCTCCCCGTACAGCGAGAAGGCCTTGCAGTCAAACCACTTTGAACTCAGCATCAAAACAGAAGCCACTCAGGGGCTGATCCTGTGGAGTGGGAAGGGGCTGGAGCGATCGGACTACATCGCCCTTGCCATAGTGGATGGCTTCGTACAAATGACCTATGACCTCGGCTCCAAGCCAGTCGTCCTACGATCCACGGTCCCTGTCAACACCAACCAGTGGATTCACATCAAAGCATACAGGTGTGAAGGCTAGCAGGAGGGGAGAGCAGGACCGTGGCAGATTGCTCTGGGGTGGGCAAGCTGTGAACGAGGGAGCCTGAGTCACGGCCGTGGCTCCGTGCCCTGTGATCCCCAAGGGTCAATCCTCTTCTTGGATAATAATAGAGGAGAGGCATGTGGGCAGTGCCGCGTTGGAGGGGTGCGTGTTGTGACACGCCTGGAAATGTCAAAGGGGCAGGCTCAAGGAGGTACGAAAGGTTCGTGCCTTTTATTTTAGCTGGCTGAGGGTTTGACATTCTCTTCATGTTGAGCCCAAGCCGTCCCTTTTATTTTTATTGGTGGTGGGAGTGGTGAGCGGATCATGCAGTCGGCATGCCAGGGATTTCTGCTGATGGTTCTGGAGGGCGCGGGAGGAAGCTGTGGCTGCTGGCAGGGCTGGCGGCGGGGCTGCGGGATGCCCAGGGGATGCTGGAGGGCAGCACTCGCTGCCGGCTGTGTTGGCACTCCCCGGCAAGGCTTTGCGCTGAGCACTGCTCTGTGCTACATGGCCTGAGGGAGAGCTCTGCTCCCTGCTACTCCCCAGGTGGAGAAGGGCTGATGGTGCCCAGCCTCTGGATGTTGCGTAAAGCAGCGGGCAGCTCGGGGTTTTTCCCTCTAAGGTAGCTAATCATCTTCCTTTTCTTCTTCCCTCCCTCCGGGCGCAGGGTACAGAGAGAAGGTTCCCTTCAAGTCGGCAACGAAGCCCCCATTGCTGGCTCTTCTCCGCTTGGTGCAACGCAGCTGGATACAGATGGGGCCCTGTGGCTGGGGAAGGCGGTGGGGGAAGGGGGAACCTCCTCTGCC